CTGGTTGCAGAAAATCAGATGTTAGGATTCCCTCTTATTTTGTCTCCTAAGATGATTTTAACCTATTTGAATTTTGGTTTACAAAAGAAGCAGCTTTGTATTTGAGGTCTGAAGATGTAAGATACATTTTTATAGGCTACTTTGAGGCAAAACTATTTGCTTGAAATTAGAAAAATAATGTTAGTTACGGCCTTAGTTTCACCAAAATTGGTAAACAATGGATCTATTGACAGATGTCCACGCTACCTGAAAATACATTTTTGCAGGGACAAAAATAAGTCCATAAAAAACAGTGTCAAATCATAAGAATAAAGTCATGCATGGAGGCACATGCTTCCAAACTTGTGCGATTGCCTTTTCACCATCGATGTTACAGAATGCGGTAGAAAAGTATGACATGCAGAGACCCTCAGTAGAAGCTTAAAGAACATGTTGAAAATGTTATATGTATGCAATATGCCCACTTGGCAACCCATAAATACCCTTGAAGTCTAGCTACAAGTAAAATTACTGCAGCGCTGCTGATCTTCTCCAAAGAGGATTGCAACATGTGTAGACGAAGAATGCATGCTTACCCGAAAAATTATTCTGTGCATGGAAATATTCTCTAAACCCGCCGGTCTGTGTTCTCTGCTGCTAGATCCATATGTGTGCGTAAAGACCGCGGCGCGAGAAGTATCAGCGCGCTCTCTCTCTCTCTCTCTCTCTCTCTCTTTCTCTCTCTGTCTCTCCTCTCTCTCTCTCTCTCTCTCTCTCTGTCTCTTCTCTCTCTCTCACGCAGTCACACTCACCTCCCCGTAATCGACTGCCTTCATCCAGATGTGTCATGCGCTGCCGAGAATCACAGCTCACCCAACTGATTATGAAAAGCATGGCTGCATGATAATCCAGATTAAGAGTCCTACAGCCCCATCAGACGCACATACAAACTCACCCACACGAGTATGAATGCAAGGGAGTAACTGCTGGCTGATTGTGCAAAACATGGTGACAGCTAAAGTCCAGCCTGCGGGTATGATAGCACTGTTTTTCTATTGCAGAGATCATCCATGCAACACGTAAAATTGTAATCTTGCAGAAGTATCCAAGAGGTTTTTTGACACTTTGAATTTGAGATGTATTCATGAAAATAGAGAAGAAGAAAAAAAGGAGGATAGAAGAGGGAATCAACCTCCCATCAGACCCTTTCTACTTCCCTTCCTCCATCTTGGCCTAAATAAAACACAGTGAAAGCCCCAGAAATGACAATGTGAAGAACGGGGCAGAGTATAGTGTGCAAGCTGCAGCTGGGGTGAGAGACAAAACCTCCCATCCATCATTGGCTGGAGGAGGTGTTTGCACAGCCGGGCTGCTAACACTCGCTAAACACCACATTATTTTCCATGTCTATTTAGTGTAACATCCTCTCATTCTTTTTTATTAGCCTGTTTTATTCTCTGATTGAGATTAGTTGTAGATTCATTTTTTGGAGATGAATATAACAACATAAAATACAATTAAAACTGAAATAATGTTCCAATTACCCATTTTAGATAATATCTATGACTTCTTCTGTTTCATAGTACAGAAACATTCTAATAGTGTTAGAGACATAACCATGCAGCTATTTGATTGAACTTCTACATTGAATTGTTATAGAATCTATAATATTTTAGGCTACACATCCAGGGAAACACAAAAGGACTACATTTTAATTTTTGTTAAGGATGCTGTAAACATGACTAAGGGCGCGGTCACACTGGCCATCTGTACCGTGCTGTACTCAAGCATGCCATGAGGCAACATGCTTCCCTGTGTGTCTTGTTTTGAACAGCACAATGTGTTGATCTACAAGATCTTCCTCAGGAACATGGCAGGTGTCAAAAGGAGAAGGCATTTCTCAGTAAAGGTAATTTCAGATGTTTAAAATTGTGTTTTGTTGTATAAGGTCTCCAATGCTGAAATGGTTTGACTGGGACAAGAGGACTGCCATCCTGTTGTAGCTGCAACGTCTAAATACAGATACTGGGAGATTGAATTGATCTCTCTCCAATAAGGAGCATATTTGTCTTCTACTTTTGAAAAGGGTATGTATGCTATAAATGACAAAAAACAAACAGGGTCATCCCATGATAGAGCTGTGACCAACTAAGCATCAATTGGCCACGGCCCACTCCCACATGATGTCCATGGCAAATGCACATGCAGACCTCCAACCTTTACAATTTCAGTGCTCGCGGACTGCCAGCAGAAGCCACTCAAAGTGAGGATTACTAAATTTGGGCCGGCATGTCCATTGTTTTATATGTTCACCCTGGTGTCTTTGGCAGACCATCTGGTGCAGGGCATCACAAATCCTGCTACATATTTCATTTAATGAGGCAATTTCTTTCTTACGTCTCTTGACCTGGTTGCTGCAGAGCTGGCTGCTGGGTGTACCCATTCTACCACAGAGAGATTGGACTATGACGTAGAGTGGACATCATCATGATAATCAGGGCCAGCCTGCAGACTTTGTGCGGGAACCATGGAAATGGTACAGATTATTAATACCACAGACAGCAAAACAGCCTAGAGCCATGGAGAATTAGAGCCCTAGAGCAGTTTGTTAGGATGCAGGTTTTTAACTCAGGATTAGGGGTGGAAAAAAGTACACCAATATATTGTAGTCCTGCCTTGTATGATACAATTACGTCCTGTGTTGTCAGGTAACACTGACAACCTTAATATCAGAGTGATTTGGTGCTTTGGCTACTATTGTAAGGTTACTAGTTGGATTGCAGCACTTATTTCCCCCTCTCTTGTGACCATTAAGTCTGTGAAACAGCTCCATTCACTAAGTATTTGCTTAAAACCCAGCTGAATACACTGTACACACTAAACACACTGAACTACATTTGTTTTGTACAGAAACTGGGCACTGCCAAACCCTGATTGAATCGTTGGTTCCAAATATGGAAACAGATTGCCCCTGACTCACTAGGTCAACACTGTATGAGGGGTAACTTGAATGAAAGTAATTAGCCAAAGAAGACGTTGATTGCAGGATAAAGGAAAAAGAAGGAGACAGCGGGACACTACTGTACATCAGGGAATAGAAAGTTATGAGAAGATTCATGATAAGGTAATAGGTGAAACGGATCCCAATGATTTTATTTATGATAGTGTCTTTATTGATGGCCAGGTTTCCTGTTGTATTGTGTTGTGTCATACTCTGCATCCCCACCCCTACTCAAAATAGGAGATAAATCAGGCCCAGATTTTGATCATCTGAGCGACATGTTACAAACAAGCGGAGAAGGTATTGTTAAAGAGCCCATATTATGCCCTTTATGGGGTTCGTATATTTAATCTATGTACCTACTTTTGTATTATTATTTTTTTGTATTTGTTTTCATGTACTGCTCCTCCTTGCTCCCTCTACGCTCTGAGTCCATCAGCTGCACTCTGTTGAGCCCACACTGTTAGACCCCACGTGGGCCAAGTCTGCTCTGATTGGTCTGCCGATCCGCTCTGTCGTTATTGGTCAGTTGCTCAGCATGCTTCTCGGAAATTTCAACATGAGCTGCTGGGCTTGTCACAACGAGCCAATGGGCTTAGATCAGTGATCTCACACTGACAATGACGTCGGACTGACAATTTTTTATCGAGGGGGGCTAGAACCGAGCGTTACATGCAGCTAATGCTACAGCTAACAGGAGGAGGTAGGAGATGCCGCGTTTTCACAGACTTTGAATTTTTGCACATAGATGTGCCTAAACATGCACAGGACACTTGGAAAACACACTAAAGAGCATATAAAACCAGAACAAGCATAATATGGGACCTTTAAGAAAATGCAACAAACCCTCCACTCATCCTCCCCCAATGATAATATTCAGACAAACTTGGCTGTACCTCTCTTATGTCTATGGCATTATTTTGTTATTTTTGTTATCTCATGCTAGGAGATGACTTGCATGCTCTGCCTAAGTGCTCTGTACTTTCTTTTGGTATAAGATGTGCTGCATTGTTTTAAAAACTGTTAAAAGTTTAAAAAAAAAACTTAAGTTACAAAAAAAATATTCAGACAAAATGATGTTATTTTTTTTGTACAATTTCAAACAAATAATATTTAGCATGTTTATTTGTAACATAACATGACTTTACCCCTGGTTAATCCCACTTTATACATGTTTTTTTGTAATATACATAGAGTGAAAATACCTTTTCCCACTTTTTGATATAGTGAAATTTAAGGGACACCGTGTGAAGCACATAAAATTAATACAAGAAATATCTCCCACGATTTCCCCCTTTTAAACCTAATACCTCTTCATTATTATCACAGCAAATCTCTACAGACCTCTCTATCCTGGTGTATTACTTTAATTGCTGCTTTACATAATAATAAAATCCAGACTGTATTGTGGTGGTGGCATGACTATATATAGAGCGCTGCTCTGAAAGGCCTGCTGTTTAACATATCTCTCTGGCATATGGTGCATTATGATTATTACGCTGCTGTTACTTCTCTACTGTAAATTGAATGAGCCTCAGAGCCCAGGGGGGGCTTTGTTGCTCCTACTCACCCTACCTCAATATCTTTGCATGTCTGGTGCACGAGAGTGACTGTGGGCATGTGCATGTTGGCCACCCCCCATCAGCTCACTCTCTCACTCACACACACACACACACACACACACACACACACACACACACACTCACGCACGCACACACACACACACACACACACACACACACACACACACACACACACATACCTTGCCATCTGTTGACATGTGCAACTGTTCAAAAATAGCCCCCTACCAGAACCTTCCCAGAGTTGGCTGCAGATAAGCAGAACAGGGATCTTGTTGTGTGTCTTTGCAAGTTGTCGCGTTTCCTCAATCCACCATGTGTTGGCCAGCAGCCTTTGGAAGCCACCTCGAGTCAATTTGACTGGAAACTTTTTCCTAAGTTCGGCTTTGTTTGTTACATTTTTTTTGGCTCTCCAGCAGCAAATTTTTGTCGATGTACAATTCTTGTCCCCAAACCAGAGAGGCTGCTTGAATCGGTGAAAACGCAACTCAAAAAATGGAGCCTTTTCCCGACCAATTCACGGAATTCCACCCAATCCATGGCACCAATGTCATACTGGACCGCTCAGGAACCCAGGCCACCCGCGTGGAGAGCTTTGCTAACGGAGTGTGTTTCAGCAAACACCCCCTGAAGCCTGGGGAGATTTTTCTCATCGAGATCGAGGATAAGGAGCTGGGCTGGTGTGGACACCTCCGTGTCGGCCTGACAGCCAGGGACCCGGGGGGCCTAGATGTGGTACCTGAATACTCCATCCCGGACCTGACGGATGTAGGGGACAGCTGGGTTTTCGCCATTACTCGCAACCACAACAAGGTCATAGAGGACCCAGGAGCAGAGGGTGAGGAAGCTGGACAGGGAGGACTGGCTGGGGGACACAGGCTCGGACGAGGGGAGGTTGAAGGTTTACTTGGAGATGGAGGAGATGTTAATCAACGAGGGGGCAACAACAGCAAACCAAAGACCTTCTTCACTGACTCTCACTTGTACATTGAGAATGTTCGGATCCCCAGAGACAAGCTGGTCGGTCGGAGCAGGCCCGGACGCTTCAGTCACATTTTGGACGACTTGTATAAAACCAACGCTTTGCCTCCCACAGCCAGACGCAGCAGGATAGGAGTTCTGTACGTTCAAAAGGGGAGAGACCTGGCTGATATGCACATAGTCATCAATGGAGAGGACATGGGAGCTTCTGCAAAGGGGATCCCCGCCGTCCAACCTCTCTATGCTGTGGTGGACGTCTTTGCTGCTACTAAGTGTGTCCGAATCGTCCAGGTGGAGTATGGATGTGAGTTTCTCCATTGTTCTTTTTTTTTAAAGCGGACATATTAACCCCCTTTTCCAGGTTTTGAAACAGTTCCATGTGGTCTAAATGAAACATCTGTGCTGTGCTTTGGTCAAAATATAACATGAATCAAGCACCAGAGGAGGTTAGTGACCCTGTATAAACCAGCTCTCTCAGAACGCTCCGTTTTGGTGTGTGTGTCTCTTTAAATGTAATGAGCCCCCCCCCCCCTGAGTTTTCCCAGTAGACATCACTCCTTCAAGCGAGAATAAAAATGGCGGACCTGCACAAAAGTTTTGCTCTAGGCTGGGGGTGGAGTCCATGGGTGGAGATATCAGGGGAGGAGAGGGAGGGGGGGATTTTTTTTCACCAGAATCCCACTGTGACATCACAAGAAGAGCAGATTTGAAACAAAGTATTTTTGCCTGTGTTGTAAGACTTATGCAGACCAAAAAAAAAAAGGACTGGATGGGTTTATTTCATATTTTGTGAAAGGTTACCCAAATATATGTTCAAAAACACTGTAGAAGTGGATTTTTCATAATATGTCCCCTTTAATCAATGATTTATTTTCAAAGAATAGCTGCCTTTGCACTGGCAGTTTATATGTTTTGCCGAAGGAGACTCTCTGTTGTTGACTGTCAGAGACACAACAACCTGTCAGACATGTTGTTTGTAGTTGCTTTGTGTCTCTTTGTAGTTCTAATGTATTACTTTATGGGTTTTTTTCATCTCTTTATTGTAAATTAGCATCTTTGACTCATCTTTTGGTTGTTTTGGGTCAATGTGGTAATTTGACTTTTATTCCTGTTCCCTTTGTGTGTCTCTTTTTTAGTTATGTGTGTCTCTTCGTTGACATGTTGTGTAACTAAGTGCAGATAAATGACATAGACGTATGGAGTCTTTGTGAACTCAGCTTCCATCTCTGTATAGATGTGTCTGTGTGGTCGTTTTGCATCTCGTCAGGGTAAGTTTGTTGTTTTTATCTATGTGTCTTCTCATTGTAGAAAAGTAAAAAATTAAGCTTCTCTTTGTTGTCACTGTAAGTCTTTGTGGTCATCTTTCATCTCTTTTTGTAGCCATTAGGGGGGGCGGGGTCTTCTTGCATTCTTCTTTTTTTTGTCATTTGGCATCTCTTTTTTGTCACTTTGTGTCTCTTTGTAGTTGTGTTGCGTCCCTTTGTAGGTATTTTCCATCCTTGTGGGCCCCTTATTGTCATTTTACTCTTTTTTTTGCAGTAACTTTGTGTGTTGTTGTTTTGGGTGATTGATTTTTAAAACAAGACATACAAATGATAGACTGTAGATCTGTTCAGTAATCAATCAACACTTTTACTGTAATACTTTTTTCCTCATTACTTCTTCAGAGTTTCTCTCCATTCCTTTATTCTGATAATCCACTGTCACCTCTCTCTCTCTCTCTCTCTCTCTCTCTCTCTCTCTCTCTATCTCTCTCTCTTTCTGTTTCTGGTCCAGTCTCGTCCTTGCAGACATTGTGCAGGAAGGCGATCCAGAAGCACATCGTCCACAGGATGGCCATTGACTGGCTGGAGCTGCCGGAGGCTCTGAAGCACTACTGCAAATATGAATGATGGATGCAGCCCTTCCATGGACAGAAATGTGATCTCTGATTTATCTCCAAGTTTGTCTCAAGAAAAATAAATGTATTTTTATGATGGAACTCTATTTATTTATTTATTTATAGAGTAAAGCTAGAAGACAAATGCTCTTGAAACTTGCCAGACTGTGATAACACTGACACCACTATTTTGAGGTGACATTTGCCAAATAAAATAAATTCACAGTTATGTTTGGTGTCTGTGTGATTCTACTTTCTACTCACAATGTATGCAGAATAACTGTGGTAGATTATTTTATCGTTTTCTTGAATCTTCAAGGGTAAACATAGCTCACTTTATGTGACAAATTATGTTTATTTTCATGTAATAAACACAAAAATCAGACGACAAAAAAACATTGCGCATTCATTGTCTTTTTGGATTTTTGGTAATTTTTTTAATAAAGTTGTATAGGCTATTGGATATTGTCTCACATCAAATAATGCATCAGTTTAATCTTTATGTGTTTGACATAATCCATGAGTTTGTAATCCTTATCCTAAAATTGAACATATCCAAATAAAATGATCTAATTTCACCAGCATGTTGCAGTAGGCGTCTGTTCACCAATGAGTCTGGTTCTGATTGAGGTTTCTGCTAGAACTTTAGGTGAAGTTTGTTCTTGCTACTGTTACCAATTAGGTATACCTGCTTAGGGTGGATTAATGATTGGTTTCTTTGAATAATATAACAAAGAGTCAAGTCTACACTACACTCCATGTAATGGACCATAAGTGTTTGTCATGACATGGTGCTATGTGAATAAAAGATGCTCTGGTATTTGTTTAAAAATCAAAGGAGTATCATTTAGCTCAGGGGTGGGCAACTGGTGGCCAACCTCAACCCACAACGTGGCCCTCAGGTAAATTTATTACATATCAATTAATTGGAAACATTAAGAAAACATGACAAAAACTGCCATGAAATACTGAAAACCAGAAATATGTCCATGATAGTATTTGATCACTGGTAGGCCTACATGTTGAGTTAATTGGAGACATAATTGACTGTAATCGTTTTTGTTTAATTTGGCCCTCTGGCAGTGAGAATTAAATGAATGCCTTCGGCCCTTGCTGTGACCAAAGTTTCCCATCCCTGATTTAGCTCATTCGTGTTTCGGATAAACGACAGATATTCAGTGCTTCTATCAAGCAGTGATTTCTTGATGTAGATCAGATCTCACGTCCTCCTTTCCTCCTGTTGTCAAACAGCGACATCCAGCGGTAAAACAGGGAACAGCACTTGGGCGGAGTTTGCGTTAAATCCACACGAGAGGAGGGAGACACGGTCATCTGTCAGCGCCGTGTGAAGGAAAGAATTGAAGCAGAATAAGGTCCATATTGCCTTCACGTTATCTGAACACAAACCACAGCATGTCTTTCTGTCAGTTTTTCGGCGGAGAGGTCTACAAGGATCATTTCAAACCAGGTGAGCGGACGGTGGCTGTTGTTTCAGATAGCGGTGATGTAACCTCACCTCCATGTAGTCTGGATTATAGAGGACAGCATCACCTTTTTTCGTCTTCTTTGTGTTGTTTTAATGTTTTGATTGAAAACGACTAGTATTACTGTGTAATATCTGTGGTAAACAGAGAGGGGACGTGTTGTGGTAACACCTGTTCAATTACAAAAGACCTCTTCAAATTAGAATGACTTTTATAATGTCAATAAATAACAAAAATAATGAAAAATGTTTCACTTAAATTGGTAAAATATCGCTTTAATGTAGATTTAATACATACTTTAAGCCATGAAGTTATGGTATAAATAAACCAATAGAACTTGTTATGTTATTGTCAACGATTTTTTTTATTTTTTTGCCAAGTCACCTCTGTGAATAAAGTCACTTAAGTTTTCAGATTTTGACTTTCTCCACAGCCTGTCATTTAATTTGTGGTATTAAAGGTGTCACGTGTGTGAAGAAAGTATAAATTAAAGATATACTGTAGGTTGAAAATAACTCTGATTGTCCTAGGACCCATGTTCAAAACACCAACAGACGTGATGCTTATTCAAAACAGATCAATATACACTCGGCGTCTATTCTAATGAATCTAAGGGAAGAATTGTACCATCTGGACCATGTTTATAAAATAATTGTTCCCCCCTCAGGTATGTATGTGTGCTCCAAGTGTAACCATCCCCTGTTCTCCAGTCGATCAAAGTTCGCCCACTCGTCGCCCTGGCCAGCTTTCACTGACACCATCAGAGAGGACAGCGTCACCAAGATGATGGAGACGCTCACTGCATTCAAGGTCACTGTCTGAACTCGATTTCTGCATTTTTTTTTTCTCTTTCTGTAAATGGTCTGAAGCATCATTTACATAGATAAATAATATGTTCCATCAGGATGAGACAAAAGGAGATGAATGTGTCTGTGCTTCATGTGTGCAGGTTCTGTGTGGAAAATGTGGCAACGGGCTGGGACATGAGTTTGTAAACGACGGCCCGGAGGAAGGAGTGTCGCGCTTTTGAATATTCAGCAACTCGCTCAAGTTTGTCCCCACCAAAGGTAAGATGACCACAGATATAAGCCACTGACATAAGCCTCAAATGTAAAACAATACCAACCAACCTTCCCCAAACCTCTGCTCTGACTTAGTGAGGGAAGAAAAAGAAAGTAAGTTAAAAATAGCATTCATCCCCATTGTTTTCAAGTTGCAACAACAAAGCAGCCGAGCCTTAAATAGCTTAAAAACAACTTCTAAAATGGATTATGGATGTGGCTAAATAAAGCTGGGAGGTTGTGAAAAAGTGGATTTTTGTGTGAGAGATGGACAAAAGTATTTATATCCTGTCATCAAAGAATCAGGATCATAATGTGCCTTGAGTAACAGAAGTAAACACTCTCATTATGCATAACATCCCCTTGTGTTATACACTGGAGCACTAAAGCTCTAATGTGAGATCAATATTCATCTCGCAGTTTGTCAAGTGTGAGCAACATGTACAGTTTCCCAGTTTTTTTAGAGAAAAGTTTTAAGTTATTGGAATAGGGGATTGCATCAAATTTTAGTTTTTGAAATATTCCTCCTTTATTAGATTATATTATTCTCTTAAAGTGTAAGCTGTAAGATAGACAGAAAAATATTGGAGAGGTTACTTGCAATTCTAGTTTTTTTATTTTTTTATTTTTTACTTTCCACCACCGCCATTTTCTTCAAACATGTTGAACTTGATTAGATCACCATGTTTCCATGCGTCATGCAGAGATGCAGTCACAGTAAATGTGTTTGTTTTGTGTCTTCGTCCCAGACAAGGACAAGCAGTAAAGAGCGAGGTCTTGAGTTTTTCTGCTGCTCCAGTATCTGCTGCTCGGTCCAGGAAGAGTGCACAGGTCAGGTCAGTGTGTGACGTGGACAGGAGAAAAGGCCTGAGAGGGACGTCCTGTCTGCTGAAGGATCTTTGACCAGCCTGTGACACAGTGAAAGGACCACACCACACTCTCTCTCTCTCTCTCTCTCTCTCTCTTTCTCTCTCTCTCTCTCTCTCTTTCTCTCTCTGCAAATCCTTCACCAGAAACAAGTTACATTCCTAAATACCTCATATTTACATTTGTTTTACTTCTCCTGTAGAATTTCTCTCAACAAACTATATCAGTACATTTATTAGATCTTAAAAGATGCATCAACGTTTTCTTTCAGTGTTCACTTACCATTTATTGCTGCTGTCTTTTTCCGAATGATTACAATAATTACATTGACTTGTCAGTATCTTTCACTCCCATCAAATTCCCAAGAGTTATTGTAACCATGTTATCTATGCACCGAATAGGACTGCCTGCTATTTTTGGATTTATACGAATGTATAATCATGAGTATGCAATAACACAAAAAAAAAGTGTTTATTTAACTTCCTGTATGTCATGTACTGTTAGCCAAATTACTTGAATGGATGCTTTTTGACTGTGTCTCTAAGGACTTTTGTGTATTTGTCATTTATGAGTGTAGAGCTTATTGTGGTAAAAAAAAAAAAGGATTTTGATTTATTGTCCATTGTAACTGTACAGATACAACTTTAGAAGACAAAACAAATAAAACAAATAGTTTAGTAGATTTTAGATTTTCCTGTTGTACAATTTTACATTCATACATCAATACACTGTGGAAGAATATGACACTTTAAAGACCTCACACTCAGAACATGTGAAATGTGATGCAATGTAACACATCAGCATCTTAAACAGTTAAAATCCTATTTTAGCTACTGTACTAACACAAACATTAATTAACATCAATGCTGCAGTAAAATATTCTTAAAAATACTAAAATCAATGTAGCATTTAGAAATTAAATGAATATTCTGTGTGACATAAGTAAAGCGTCTGAGAACCGAAGCTGGGCACATGTTCATATATCGGAAATTGTGGACAGTAATTGTTTTTATTAATATTTAACATAGACATCAATTTGTGATGATTGAAACCTTGAACTTTTAGTAAATTGCCCTTTCCATAACTGTCCAATTATAAGGTTAAAGGGATCCCAGATTAACTGTTAAAGACGTGAATTTTATTCAAAGGTCTATGCCCACCTCTGCTGAGTACTTTCATTTGTGTCAAACTTCTAAACGGACACTTCCAAAACTGACCTGTAGATGGCAACCTTATCCCTTTCCAAGACATCCACTCCTCCATAGAAGTATAGGGTCAACAGCTTTACCATTTTTATTGGAACGTTTGATGCAGACAGTATGTGATACTTTTTGTTTTTTCAGGGGGAGTGTAGCGCCTGCTTTAGATCCCACTTTACTAGAGAGTCTGCCCTCCATGAACACATTTTTTTGTGTATATGTTTGTTGTCTTGCATCTGGTTAATTATGGATGCTGGTGGTTTCCGAAGTACAGGGTCTCCAGCTCCCTCTGTGGCCCAGCTGCAGGCCATATTCTCTGGGCTCCGAGGGTTGGCAGAGACCCTGAGGTTTACATGAGTAGCCGGGCCGCCTGGAAAGAGACCGTGGGCTATCATTACAAAGGAAGTGCACTCACGCACACACACACACACACCACCCCAGGAAAACATCTTCTAATCAACACACTGCCATACTCCTATTGAATGTCACATATAAAGTATCTCTCACATCTATCTTCAAATGATCTTAGCACATGCATTAATGTCTTACACCATTAAGCCAAAATACACACAAAAACACCCACACTGTACTCAATTTTATTGGTCCGACCACAGACAAGTTAAGTTTGAATCATGTTTTCTTTGAAAACATCACGTCTTGTAGCATGCAATTACAGGAGGTCATCATAACATTCATAGAAGTTGTTGAACTCTCAGCAGCATCAAAATTTCAATATTCTGGAGCGCCGCTTAGCATCCGTCCAGCTTTACTTCCACACGCTGCCAAAAGTGTTGAAATGAGTCTGAGCCCTTCAGAGTGGCAGAGAGGCCTGACCTTGCGTTGAGGTTGTCATGGCTGAGTAAATGTCCTCTTGTGTCGTCCTGGCAGGCAAACGTTCAGCAGCTTATTCTTTTTAACAGTGTGTGAGAGAGTGTGCATTTTTAGCAAAGGTGGTCCACTGGTAATGGAACCCACAACCTTGGCAGGATGTGCGTTTGGCTCTGCCCGCCAAAGTCTGAAACCAGTGGCTTTGACAGATTAACATAAAGCAAAATCAGGGAGAAGAAGGGAGAATGCAATTACTACATTTGATAGCTGGTGCTAACTCTTCTAGAAAATCAAACAAACCATATTATTCTTTTTGTTTGAAACAGTTTGTGCATTATGGTCATTAATGTGCCTTGTGATATACTAGACCTGCTCTTTATGTGGGATCGTGCCATATGTTCCCACATATGTATGTGTATGTAGGTATGTACAGTATATGCATATATGTAGCATGTGATTGTATTACATGTATACCTTATGTATAGTTGTACTTATCTGGTTTTGTTTGTCTGACTTAAAGAAATGAAAACAAGGGTTCGGCATCTATGAGCTCTGCTTCAGCCGAAACCCTTTTCGATTCTTGTAATGATTGTGATTGTGACGATTTCTGCTGCTGCTGATCAAAATAAAATTACTCATTCTTTCATTTACTTTAAAGTGCTTCCAAAAAATCTTGTGGGAGGATAGGGCTTAAATTGAAGGGAAATGTAGGAACACAAGACCTAATTTTGAAAATGTCATAGAAATGTGGGACCATATCAGCGGTTACATTTACAAGTTACTCTTTCTCCCCTTCCTGCCCTCAGACTACAACTAGCTATGTTCTCGTCGTTTTACTCAAGCAGGTGAAAATAATGTCCTTATGCTTGACAGAAAGCTCATGCCTGAATGATCACCTGTCTCTCTTCTTTTACTGGTCGGGACATTCTTTCTCACAGGATTCTACTGAGCTGATGTTAGCGTAACCTCGTCCACTGATTAGAATTACCACAGTTTTGTTCAAATGTATGCTATGGTTAGCAATGTTAGAGAAACTGCAAAGCGTACAGACACACAGAGTAACCCTAAAAAAGGGCTTTTGTTCAAAGCTAGATTTCTCTGGAATGTATGTGTTACTAGCGAGTTAACTTAAGCATGTGGAAGTTTCAGCTTATAGACATTGGATGATGAGGTTGAGTACACACAAATGAGCTGATGCAAGGATATCTTACAGTCAGTCAAAGATAGATGTGATTCTGTTGAAATGTAAAGAGTGTGACAGTGAATGTAAAACCACAAGAATAAAACATAACTGCTGTAAAGTTAGCTTATTTGTCCCGGACAGCCAACCTAACAAGCACTGAGTGTGCAGAGTGAAGTTAGCTAGTAAGCTTGCTAGCAGTGCATTGACACTGGATGTGTTTGCTTTAAAGTTTGTTTGTTTTTGTTTTTCAGTCTTTTCTCTCTAATCTTTCTTTTAACTCTGTTATTTTATGAAGTTTATTCATCAACTCCACGTTGTTAGAGCTTAAAATAATGTTGTCAATGTACTTCAGTTTATGATTTTTATAGTTTTTCAAAGTAACTTTACCTCTCTGTCCTACAACCCAACGTTTAAAATGTTCCCTATTTTCTTTGTCTGTTTAGACAATAACAACATTTCTAATGACGCAACATTACCTTTTGGAAAATGAAAAGACACCATGCCACACACAGCTTTATTGTTGTTTTTTGCTGGTTGTTTGCCTTCAGGGTGGATCAGAGAAATGATAGTAAGCATGCAGTCTGTGCTTTACACTTCCAATTCTCTGGAAAACCAGCATTCAAAGGAGTGTTTTGGCACAGATGAAAGGTATGTGTCTGGCCCGCAAATACGCTAAGTACCAAACTGGTTTGAACAGCAATGCGGTTTACAAATTTTGCATTTTGTGCACAACTATGAGACAGATAAATCAGCAATACATTATCCTCCTATGACTGATGTTACCCAGCACCTGTGAATGCTGTATTCTGGTTTTCTCATTTTTTGAGCATGAGAAGTGAATAAATCTTAATAAGGGAAGCAGTTTGAACTCAGGAAACCTTTTTTCACATGCTCAACTTAGCCTAAGTCACTGTTTTGTTTGGTTGTTATTCTGTGTTTAGCATCTTTGAGTACTCAGGAAAGCTATAAAAGTCTATTCCATTGTTATTTTTATCATAAACTTGAAGTTAATGGTGACTTCCCTTAAAGGGCCCTTACACTGAATTAACCTGCTGCCCTGTGAACTTTAAAAGAGTAAATGTTTATTGCACTGGGAGAAAATGGACTTGTGTAGGAATGAAAAGAAACCTAATTAATATGATAAAAGATGAGTGGATTAAGAGGACAGCTGCGTCTGCAATAAGGTCATTTTTAGAGCAGTTCAATTGCATTCAAAGACCCTCTCGGGTGTTCTCTGGGCTCTACTGTTGAATCTTCCATTAAATATAAACAGCTTAGGTAGAAGTCCCCTACCACACAATGATTGAAAGGGTAAATGAAACCCAATGAGTTTATTTAATAAAGAAAAAATGTTTTCTTCTACAAAGACCATTCTTATTCAGACTTCATAAACATTATCTTAGAGAAACGGAGGTGAAAAAAAGTGGATAAGTGTGTCCTAATAGACGTCTTTCAATATCTTTGGGTTTCAGCTCATGAGCTCCAGATCAGATAAGATGATTATTCAAAATTACCCCATCAGTCATCGCTTACCCCAGGCCAAAGAAACAGGTGGATGACATCACAGTTATTGGGGCGCATATTAGAGCAGCCCGTCGTGCCAAAACACACACAACAGCAAAACGTGCACACCCAGCAAAAAGCATTATTGTCGAGATGCAGATAAGAGTAAGACTCAACTATTAAACATTTTTAAAAATGCCTTTGACGCATAAGAGCAGCTACTACACAATGACTTCAAGATTCAGTTTGTCACTTCCATAAAATACTCTCAGCATACATGGGAGCAAAATGCCGTTCTCCTCCAATCAGACACATAGACACATGCATAAAAAGAAGAACAAGAGTGTTACATCCTCTGCCTCTCAAAGTTCTTCTTCTCGGTCATATTTTGCTAAATGCTCCAGAGATCAGGATTCAGCTTGCTCTGTTATCCAAGCTGTGTGATGTCATTTTGCATAAAAGTAATTGTGTTCCACTCTATTGCTGCTGGCAGTCAACCAGTCGTTAAACTTTGAGGTGCGTCTGTGATGTCAGTGATGAATTTCTCCTTGTATGAAAGTTGAACATTGTTGCCAATCAAAGTGATGAAATGTAAAACTGTGGCTGCACGACCGACCTCAATGTGACATGGTAGGGTAGTAATGGTGCAGAGCACTGACGAAACTCTGTTACCTTTATGTAACGTAATGGCACTTTTCTTTATGTTTATACCTAAATGTCCATGTCCTGTTGGCTCCTCACCTTAAGTCAGTTACCCTGGATATTCAGAAAGGAAAATCATGCCAACTCAGAGATGGTCCTTATGACTTTGCAGCTTTTTTCTCGTGCTGACTTGCAAGAAAACTGACCCCCAAATCCAGTGTTGATTTGGAATATGAATTCTGGTGATAAAACTTGTGACGTTTTTGACAAATAACAACCCTCTGCAATCTCTGATGATCCCTGATACTTCTAGCAACTACCCAATAAAGTAACTTGTAACTCCACTCAGTAATATCTGTGTATTTTCAATGCTCAGGTCTTTAGTTCAGAAACATATGTAAGCTCTAAATTTGCCTGAAATGTAATACTGACCCTTTACTGTGAGCAAGGTGTGTTGTCAAAGTTCAATAGTAAACTGGCTGCAACCATAACCCAGTATAGGCAGTTCACCAGTCCATCAGTGGGACAAGTGACATTCAGCATCTGGGCTGGATTACTCTCCATCCTCCGGACACAGAGAGAATCTCATCCATCTTGATGTCTTGACATGTGGTGCCTGCCACCAGCTCCCCGAGTCCCCGCGTGTGACGCCAATGTCATCGCTCAGGTCCCTGCAGACCCCCAAATGTAACGCCATGCATCATACTGGAAGAGCCAGAGCATTGAGCCGCTGCTCAATAAGTCAGGAAACAGGCAGCACGGACACAGAGGTATCGACACCTTTGGGGCTCAGGAGGGATTTGAGTCAGAAATCAACTTGGGACCTGACTGACTTATTGTCTTTCTTCATAAATGTCTCACAAAGGCTGTGAATCAGTGTTGGTATAAATGTGGTGTTGTCATAAATGTGTCTATTTGAATTTAATGTCAGAAAGTGTGTTTATCTTTTGTATTTTGTACTTTTGCATACAAGTAGCCTACATACGGCCCAGAGCCACTTAGTATTAAACCTGAGAGCAGTGTCTCCAGTAGTTAAGAGCCCAGTTCATTGAGAAAATCTCAAAATTTGTGCTAAAGGGAAAGTCTGGACAATGTTGAGACCTGGCTATCTGGAAATTGTCAAGAAATCACCCATGAAAAGGGCTTATGAGGTCACTACTTGAAGTCATTTGTGTTCTGCACATATCTATAAATTGCCAAAAGTGCTAAACTTGTTGTAATAGGCTGACGTGTGTGAAAAATGTACACACACAAACGTTAAATTACAGCAACAAATAATTTGAGGGGTGGGGTCTCAAAGCAGACAGAAGCCCTTTGCTCATTGTGATTCTACAACAGAGTTTTGTCTTAATTTTATGCCTTTGTGCCTTACACATTTGATCTGCAACAGTGTATCATTACTGTCCCAGTGTGTGATGTCACAATGCATTATAGTGATGTGTGAGTGTGAGATATATTGCATGTAAACACACAGCAGGAGCTTCACATACACATACACTCAGGCATGCATACACACACACACACAGCGCTGTTCCGTCCTGCTGTGCGTCACACCTTATGCTCCATTACGCCTGTTACTACCTCAAAAGATCAGGAGCTGAACAACTTGGCTCCACCACTTGGCCTTCGTGTTATACAATGTAAATGAGGTGCAACAGGGGCTTAAATATCCCACCTTGAACTGGCAGAATGTAAATGGACTTCATTTAAACTGACTGATTCCCTCATATTTAACTGTTTTATGTTGAATCGCTGACCCATGGCAGCTTTTTATTTACTATTCTATTACTATTATAGACTTTGCAGAATAGCAGAATTAAAATACAGATACATTAAATGTTCACTCAAATGCTCAATATAAATATTTTTAAACTGCTTACTGAAAAAAATGGTTTTAAAACCATTCATTATATCATATTATTCCAGAGAAACCGTAAAAAGAGAGAGCGTTGCTTTGCTATTTTGATGACCTGACCTCATCAAACCCTTAAAAATGGAAAATTAGACCACAGCTACAAGCTGTTTCATAGTTTACACTCGGAGCTTTCTGGCATGTCTATAGAAGCAGCAGGTAAGAAGCCCATCCAGGTTTCAAGCTACATTTGCACAATTATCACCGTCTCATTCGGCACATTTCTGTTTCAGGATAAATTCCTCCTGACAGCAGGGCAGACTGTTTGTAAACACGGTCTCTGAGCGCTGTCTTACTTTGTTATCTTCAGTCCCGAGAGCAGATAACGCTGCAACTCTGCCTTCAAAGCCTCTAAGCTCCTTGCGCCAGAGCGAGGCACGCTCTGAAACTATTTAATCAGGAGCTTTTCTCTTGGCCTCTGCTGCAGACCTGGAACTGTGATACACACTGAAAGCAGCTCGACGTGACTCTCTGTGTGTGTGTGTGTGTGTGTGTGTGTGTGTGTGTGTGTGTGTGTGTGTGTGTTTGAAGTGGTTAAGGGGGTCATGTTTGTTTAGGCTGCCTGTCTCTCTCAGCGGGTCAGCCTAGAGCTCATAGGGGTATAATTTTGTGGTGAGGCTTCTGAGGATCTGACTAGTTTTCAAAGTTTTCCTGAGCCCCCCCCTCTTTGCTGCAGTCCATTAAGTTCTGACATTTAAATTGTCAAATAATCAAATAGTTGATTCTCAGGCATGTTGATGGAGTTAAAACGTTCAAAAGCTCCTCTTGAAGAAGTCAAGGCATCCTCAGAAGTATTGCGTCAGAGGCCGAAGTACCCTTTTTTATTTTGTCTTTTGGTTTCTGCATCAACCAAGTGGTCGAAGAGCGCAGCAGTTTCTCTATACTTACAGCCGTGTCAGACCTTTGATACATCCTTCTCAACTGTGGAATTTCATAGCAGGGAGATGAAACGAGCAGAATGATTACAGGCCTGTCCTCGTTGCATGAATGACATCATGACAGTAGATCATGGAATCGTATGGTTTCAAATGCCTCTCTACGCTGAGCAGTAAATCTCTAGGTAGCTATAGCATGCAAGCCAAGACTTCTTGAAAATATTTGAGTTTGATGCAGAGGAAATGTAATGTCAACAAAGGCCTCCCTGAATGCAAGAACACACACACACACACACACACACACACACACACACACACACACACACACACGCACACACACACACACACACTGAACTCACATGACCTCTCAGGAGCTGCCGTGTGGCTCTAATCACCACATTTTACAGGGTGGCCTTATTACCTTTAGTTACACCTAACAGATAACTTATCAAAGATGCTGACTGCTCACTGCTGCAGAGTTCAGCACAGATCAGCTGATAGCTCACCTGACGTTACTTCTGCTGTATAACCTAATTCCTGCGTTTATGACCTAACTTGTTTTTGTTTACTCTAGATGAAGGTTTGCAGTTTAAAAAAAAAAGAGTTCAATGTTTTTTTTAGCTCTTGTACTGACAGTTAGGTTTTTTAAAAAAAAGAAGCTACAGCTAGGAGACAGCTTAGCTTAGCTTAGCTTGAAAGCTGGAAAGGTACGGTGAATAAGAATTTTGATCAAACATAGACATATATTTATAGATTTTATTGCCAAAAGTTGGATCAGACGATTGGTAACACTTTTTTTGTCTGTCCTGTACTGATTGAGTTACAGAAGCCACAAGCTAGCCCAGCAAGTCGCTATTTACTGGCTGCTCCTATAAGGCCTAAGCTCTGACATTATGCTTCTTATTTTTTATTGTGTGCTATTAAAGACGCACCGTAGTGAGGCCACTGCAGCGTCTCCCTGTAGTCACAGCATGGTTCGTTTCACTTTAAAAAATAAACACACGGACAGATCAGTTGATCATTCAAAATTAATATTCAACTTGTGACATCAAACATTTCACAATTTTTACCATTCCCTTTAGCTGTTTTCAATAAGTGTGCGATCCCTGACAAGTTCCTTTCCCGTAGTTAAGTTAATGTCGTAATCTCCAATCTACTGGAAGTTCCTTATTTGATTTCAAAATAAAAGCAGGTTCGTATCCAAATAGGAAGTAGAATACCCTTAGCTTATGACAGTATAAATATTCAAAATAAAAAACTGCTTTAAAATGTAAAATAAAGGAATTTCAAACGTGTCAATAAAAAATATGATTATCATCAAAATTAATAGCAGCAAAAAATCATTATTTTGATTTTTTGCTGCCGGTTTTCTGAGACAGAAAATTGTAAAGCTTTGGTTTTACTATCCCTGAAAACCTCACAAATGGCATTATTTCCTTTCTGTTCCTGAGAAGTGGACATTTGACATGTTAACTTTTAAAAATAAGTGTTGTGAATTTTGTTTTAAAAGGACACTTTTTTCATCTCTTTTCCGTAATTGGAGGAAACACTCATTCCTACATCATCTGACTGAAAGTAACATTATTGACTTACAACCACTCTCTTCTTTCAACCTTGTAGCAACAGAAATGTCAGATGCAGAGAGATAAGCTGATTTCTCCCCGTGTTGTTTTGTCTGCAGCTCAGTACAGCATGACACACCTGAAGCCTTATCTCCTCCTGTATTATTACTCCACAGGGTTACGAGTGAAGGCCTAAAAGCTCGGAGCATGAGATCAGTCAGAATGCTGTCTACACTGATCAGCAGATTGTTGTGAATTTTTGGCCAATCCAATTACACAGAGAATTTGTAATGACTTGAGAGTGACTCAGGTATTGGCTTAAGTGCAGAGCCAGAATGTCTCCATTGAATGGGAACCATCTGAAGTTAATTTGTTACCCTCCAGTTCTTATATCATTTATGACAATGAATCCAGAAACACAGCAGTTTAAGGCGTGCTACATACCCTTTAAACAAGCAACAAGTTTTATAAGAGAAGAGCCTGAGTTGAACCACAATGACCTGCTGTAAAAGTTGGAATATGATAACAGGTATCAGGTTGTGTTTCAGCCTTTTCCCTCTGAAATGACTCAGCTTTAACAGGTAGACGCTTTTTTATGACTACCCTCAGATTTCCGTGTCACCAAGTGAGCTGATGATCCTGTGCAGGCATGCCTGGCCACTTTTCCTGCCTACCTCTATTGAAAACATTTTTCGAAGCAGCGAGCTTGTAGCCACGCCCGTGTGATAATGTACAGTGCTGCTGTGCCCTATACTTACCCAGCTGGCCGCAGAGCTCTGCCCTGCAGTTACGGCTGAGAATACGGCCCTCCCACTGGCTTTCACACAACACACAGACTTCAGTGCACAGATGACAGGTCTTGCTTAGACTCTACTATTTGTTGGTATGTTCTTTGTTTGTGTGTGGGAAGTTTTAAAAAGGGTAAATCTGAAGGTTTGTTGTCTTCATGACATCTTTGGCATGAGCACAAATTCCTGCAGGGTTTCTGTTCTGAATGAGAGTAGCTGCCAATCAGTCGCCCGGTTGTTGCTGTAACATTTTATTTCCCCCTGGATGTTTTGTTGATAGAGTAAAAAGTATGTTTATGTCTCAGATATGGGACAAGATCTCACTGTGGCAACATGGCGTTAAAACACAAATATATAAGAAGAGATACAACAAGCAGAGCAGCAAAATTATCTTTTTTTACATGTACAACCAACAGAGCGAAAGCATGGATCGACCGTCTTAACAAAAAGTTTTTCAATATAAAAAGCAGGAAAGATCGGACACACAACTGTGTACAGAGCGTGTAAATGAAACAACTTTGATGCAAATCAGGAAGTGAAATAACCCATTTTGATTGGTTGCCTGCCATGACTGTTTTTTATTTATATAATTGTCATGATCCTTCATGGGCTAAGCTACATTTGTGTCTAATCATTCAGTATTAGTAAGTGGCTGAGAGGGGGAAATACTCTGCTGCTTAGATATTTTACACGTCTGCCCAGGTCAGTTTAAATAAAAAAATATAGTAGGTACGTCCTCTTGGCAACAAAACTTACTGCGAAGCCACTCTCGCTAGCATTTCCAACCTTACATTAACAGAATTACAACAAATTTAGCTGCCGATAAAGCTGAAGACTGTCGACTCCTTGGCCTTTTTTTTGTAGTGATATTACGAAACTAGAAACCCCAGTGAGAAAATCTGGTATTTTACCCATTCTTCCTATAGTTTATATGTCAATTAGATATTTAACTCCCAGTTTATCTTGCTTGAGGACGTTGGCTAACGTAAGTTTAGCATGTCATAGCCATACAACAGCATTCATTAACTGAAATTCCATTAACCTCAAACCGGTTACTAACCACGGTCCAGTGTTGGAGCAACGGTGGTCATGCTGGTGATGCCCCAGTGACATTGACTTCAGCTTTTTTTTTAAAATAAACTGTGGTTGTTATGGTGACATAGAGAATTGTGAGAAAGCCTGACTTAAGTTAACAAGCTCTACTCGGAGCTAACGAGCTCGGACTTTATAAACCTAAAGGCTTCCATGGAGTCGAGTCGAACAACAACAGGAGCAGCCTGGACATTCAAGTTAAACGTTTGAGCGTTAATGACAAGAAGAAACCACAAATCAAGAAATGTATTTTATTAGGAGAAGCCCCTTGAGGTGTATCACCTCTCTTTAAAGGTGGTCCCAGATGAGCACACAAAACCTGTCATGGATAAGCCAAGCTCCCTTGTTTGAAGTGGTCTATTTATATCTGTCTTTCACAGAATAAAACCCTTCAGCTGTGACTCCGCTCTCCTTGTTACGACCAGTGAATTTAGACCCAGATGCAGGACACATAAACAGAGGGGTTGATTGGTAATGAGGTTTATTGTGGCAAATGGAGATGAAGATGGGTTGAAGATTCTGGAGGTTAGCAATCAATCAATCAATTTTTATTTGTATAGCGTCAACTCATAACAAGTGTTATTTCAAGACACTTTACAAAAAGCAGGTAAAAGACCTTACTCATTGTTATGTTACAAAAAGCAGGTAAAAGACCTTACTCATTGTTATGTTACAAAAAGCAGGTAAAAGACCTTACTCATTGCTATGTTACAAAAAGCAGGTAAAAGACCTTACTCATTGCTATGTTACAAAAAGCAGGTAAAAGACCTTACTCATTGCTATGTTACAAAAAGCAGGTAAAAGACCTTACTCATTGCTATGTTACAAAGACCCGGCCTATCCATCATGAGCACTTTAGCAAAGCAGCAAAAGTTACAGTGGTAAGAAAAAACTGCCTTATTAAAAGCAGAGTGAAGGGGATGAAGGCTGACCAGACCAGAGTTGGGGTGTGAGTGTGGCTGAGTAGCTTTGAGTCCAGAGAGCAGGTTGAGGCAGATGGCTGAGCAGGAAGGCAGGTGGGTGAATGGTGATCCTGAAGCAAAGGAAGGATGAGGAGATGGAGAGCTGGTGTGCAGGTGAGAGCAGGTGAAAGGAATGAACCTCAATCAGGAGGGAGCCAGAGTGAGAGAGCCATGACACTCCTGTCCTGATTCTCTGACCGGTGTCCTTCCATATCTGCCAAACTAAAAGAACTTTCCAAAGGTTCAACGTTTATTTCAGAATATCATTATTTGATGAATATCTTGTAAAGAGATACAGTTTTCTCTAACTTTGGGTTGAATTGCTTTGACTGTGTAATTCATCCTTAATCCTTGCCGTCCTTTCATGACGATGATGGCTGCTGGAGTTTGGTGACAGGTTTCTGTTGTGTGTGTGTGAAAAGGAGACATTCCATCCCGGTGAGTTAACAGGGCATTTAAAGAGCATGCTCTTCAGTAGCTAGTCGTATGTATTGTTTTCCTCTGATTCTCCTGAGGGATAATAACTGCTACACCCTTCAGGAGAACTTGAGAAGTCTGGTGAAGCCTGCTCACTTTGTCCTGAAACAGTGAGGGGATTAACTATTGTGAGAAAATAACAAAAAAACATGAAAACACCAAAGCCTTTAAATATCAGAAAAAAACGTCAAGCCTCTTTGGACATCAGGGAATGTCTCTGTTTTATAGCTATCTGTTGCCAACATTTAAAGTTTGTTAAGAGTGACTTAAGAGAGGTTGTTACTCTAAAGAAATTCCACATTGTTTTAAATAAACATTTTAATTAAATAAATAATTAAATCAGTAATTCTACAGACTGTCCTCTGCCTTTCCACAAGTGAAAGTGTTTATAGTAAATGCCTAGAATTATTTTATCTCTATTGTAATTTTAAAAATGTTTGTTTTTTAATTTTTTGCTATTTTGACTAATTATACTACTGTTTTGAGCTGTTGTAACAAATAAATTTTCCCCAATGGGGATCAATAAAGTTTATCTTTATCTTTAATTTGTATGAAATTATATTCAAGTTTTTGCAGAATGGTGGCAATGAACCAAAGATTAAAATCCTATAATAGCATTATTTGTGACATTAACATTTTAATGTCTCTTTAGATGTTACAAACCCCTGCATATCAAAAATCTGCTACACACCAAAAAAAAAAATAATAATAATTGTAATAAATAAATAACAGGAAAGAAATATTATTTGAGGAATAGTCTTTCAGGGCGCCGGACAGCCTAGTGGTCATGTTGTTCTCTCCATGTACAGAGGCTTTAGTCCTCATTGCAGCAGCCCTGGGTTAGAATCCGACCTCGGCCCTTTGCTGCATGTCAGCTACTCACATCTCCAAAAGTTTCCTGTCTCCTTTGTCAGCTGTCCTATCTGATAAATGCAAAAATTGCTCAAAAAACTCTCTTTTCTATTAGGTCTTTCTATAACTCAGATTCTTGATTGTTGTTAAGACAGAAATTATACCACTGTCTACAAAAAATGAATATCAAGATTATCAACTGTAGATATAAAAAAGTGTCCATATTTCCAAGTTGTGTGTTTATTTCTTGATATTTACCATCATTACATAGCACAAATTTGAAAAGGGGGGGGGGGGTTCATCCACAGGCTAATGCTATAGGGGGGTCTGTGGCATGAAAAAGTCTGGGAACCCCTGTTTTAGTGTTTGTTAAAACTTGAGACTGGTTGCCACACTTCCCAAATATCTATTGTATTGATTTGTCATGAAAATCCTAATTCACACATCACAACCTGCCTAGCTATCCTCTGGAAATAACAACTGGTCAACATCTGTCGTAATCAGGTAGAAGAATTTAATCTGGCAAAATACAAGTCCTTTGGAAGATAAAGACTTGGCTCACTCTGTCCTCTCTTGAGTTTTACCTCTGAGGGTTTTGCTGAGTTGGGACTCTAGTGTGAGACAGAAATTGGATTACTCTGTTTTGGGAATATTGGCTTCTGTCTTTGAAGCGGCCGCAGGTCATCACAGGGACTGTACGGAGAATTACAGAGCACACCAGGTACCACTGAGCTTTGTACAGCTGTCTGCCTTCCCACAGCAACAGACCTTACACAGGTGGGGAAGGAATCCAACACCAACAATGTCACTTCAGAAACAGGTGGGGGTGTGGGAAAGCCAAAGTTCAGGTGTTCCCCTGTACACTGTCAAAGTGAGCAAAGTACCCATACAGTAGACTCTCTAGACTGTCATTCAGGATTAGTCACACACTGTAAATGATACCCAAACCAAGCAGACATATTGTTTCCCTGCTTTTGTCTGCATGGCTACATATCTATAGGAACCCTTAAAGGCTTAATATGCAATTTTTTGATCCAGCAGATGTCGCCCTTGAGCACCAACATGACACCAAAACAACTTGCGCTGCATTGTTGTGTTAGCATGCTAATGCTAGTGATCTTTATTATGCTCATATCTTCACACTGCATGTAAATTTACCTGAAATGAGCGTGATCTAGAAACACAGTTAAGCAGTGAGTACAGTATGTTATTCTTCTTTTCTCTAGTCCCTCAATTAAACAACTTTTATACATGAGGGGAGGAGTCAGCCGACTGTCCGGGCGATGTAAACAAACTGAAGATAGGACTCTGAAAGCATCACAGACAGTGGGACTCGGGTGTTACACCCATTGTAGACAGTCATGACTCACAGAGTTATTTTCAGAGGATATACTTGATTTCTATTACATTTAAGTGTGGAAATTCACATATTAAGCCTTTAAAGTTTAAAAATGGTGAAAATAAAGTAAAATTTATGTGACAAGAATAAGTAAGGAGAGTGACTTTTAGTGCAATTAAAAGAGCAATTTTGTTTCTTCAAAAACCACATCATTGGATTCTTGTGCTTTAAGTAAAGGGAACACAGCTCTGTATGGCAAACAAAGCAAGCCCACATTATTGATGACTTTGACTACAGAGTGGCACGTCTCCAATTGTTTTTCAACAACACAAGAGGATCAATAGGGAGGAGTGCTCGGGGAGTACAGAGGGGTAAATGATGCCTTCTCTGTTTAGAGACTTCTGGAAATTGACATACTGCCAGGCTGGATGAGGCCCTGGTCGATTGATACCGCCATCCCTTCAGATCTATCATCCATATGGATGTGCTGCCATGTAGGACCTCACTTATATTTCAACATGTAAGGTGAAGATGCCAATACATTTGTGATTTATACTGTTGCACAAATATTGTCAAAAGTGCGTTTGGAAAATGGGTTTTATATCCATGTCAGATCACTGAGAGCTCGTATTGGGCTGGGTCTCTGCAAGGGAACATTTTAACTGGGAATATTTTTTTTCATACAGTCCAAAGAAAACATTTAATTGACACGCTTTCTTCTGAAGTTGTGAGCGCTGCCATGACTAAAACATTTTCCATGTTTGCCTTTACATAAGTGAAGAGTGGGATTCAAGATGCTGCTGTGTGATTCATCAGCGTCAAATGAAAAAGCTAAGCCCAGACTCACAACAAACCTGATATAAATGTTTATAACTGAGGTAGGTAAAGTCCCACACAACTCTTTGTTACAGCACATGGGTTAGGGTAAACGCCACACATCTTGCACTGTACATTACTTTCATTTTTGTTAAAGTACTTAAAGACATCACTTTTCCTTGTGATGGCTGACATGGTGCATATAACGTTAAAAATCAATATAACAAATAAACTCCTTTGTTAATGCAAAAATCCAATCAAATCATGTCCCTCAACCAAATACACACACACACACAACTGCACAATTATGTTTTACAATTATGATTTCCGGCATAGGGCTGGTTTTTCGGCTGGTTCTGATTGGCCATTGGGCTTGTTTTGTCGCACAGACCTGGCAACCTTGCGGACAACCCTCCTCAACGTACACCAAAATGAAGCTAAGAAACTGTTGTTTGAACACATATGTTAATACACTCCATTAAAAAAAGCCTCAGTCAAGATCGTGTCATTTAATCCAAAGGCTGCTCGCCGGTAGTATCGCCGCCTCTCACTGTCTCGTATTTGGGGAGGATTCATTAATAGCTCAGCAGTGACAGACTTGTGTCTGGCAGGCGGAACTCTTCAAAACCCCGGGCAAGCTAAACATTAGAATTAATCTAAGAACTTTTAGATTTTAAATGAGTTAATTTCCTCCACTTGAAACACCCAGTCGTACTTTAGTTTAAACTTTGTCTTTATCACTCAGGGAAACTAGCTCTTGCCAGTTCTATGAATCGATGCCTAGCCATTTAGGAGGAGACGGGCAAAGGCCAGGAGGAGCTACTATAAGCAGGAACTGGTAGATATAAGCCTGGTGTGGCAACTGGTTATAGACTGTAAATAATAAGTGTTATATACAGTCTATGATTATACGTTTCATCTCTGTACATTTTCATCCATTTAAGATGTAAAGCCATCATAAGATTCATTGAATTTTGACGTCTGTTCTCATCCTTTATGATACCTACTGCAAGAAAGTACACTTCCTGTATAAACCTATTCTGGTTTTATATGTGAATACAGATACAGATCATTTTTGGGTGGAACAGATAGGCTAGAGATTCATGTAATGATGTCACTGCACACCCCTACTTACTGCTGGAGAGCTCATTCTCTTGCTCCCAGGAGATCACTGTTTGTGTCTAGAGTGTGAAACCAAATGTCAATATTGACACATTATTCCAGCCAAAACTTTCCTCGAAACCTACGGTTAGGCTTAGGCACTGAAACTACTTGATCAGGATAAACATTGTGGCTTTGGTCAAAATATTGTACTTGAAGCTTGGTTGAGCAGCTTAAGAGTGCTCTTATGCACAGGTAGGCAGGTAAGGATAAGTAGAAATGTTTCAGCGACCGTTCAAATTTATTTTATTTTATCTAAAGGAAGAATGTTTTCATTTTGGATCCAGTAGATGTCGCCCTTGAGCGCCGGCATTAAACCAAAACAAACTGCTGTTTGGCGACACGTCCGATATTCTGAAGCCTCCGCTCTCCTCCAGCGGCACACCTCCAACGCCCCTACACTCCTGTTCACATAAAGGAGTTATGAATTATACTGCACCATAATGAAGCACCATTAAGCTGCATTGTTGTGTTAGCAGGCTAATATTAGCGCATATTGGTTTAATTCATAGTTTTATATTGCACATAAATCGACATGGAATGAATGTGATCTAAAGACACTTACGTGACATCCAGATAAGAACTGAGTAGACTGTGTTATTCTTCTTTTCTCTAGTCCTTGACTAAAACGAGCTTTGTATGCAAGGCCGTTCCATCCATGTAAGCATGATGTAAACACGATGTAAACACTGCTCCGACAACAATTTTCAACAGTCATGACTCAAAGAGACATTTGATTTCTGCTGTATTTATGTGTAAAATGTTCTTCCTTTAATGTCAGAGTATTTGGTTTATGGTTTTTGTCAAAATACAAAAGAGATCTCAATAAGTATGACAAAAATACATAGATCCAAAAAACATGATGCAGAGCTGGCTAAAAACTGAAGCTACAGGGTCTGCGACATGGAATCCGGTGTGTGCATAAACTCCAGTGAGGAGGGGATAGGGGGGTTAAATGCTTAAATGTTTCTCAAGTGAAGAACCATGTGATGGCATCCTAAGGTTGCAAAATTAAAACAGGGCTTTATTTTATGTTTTTTTTTTCTTCCTGCAGCAGTAGTATCACACAGAGGGAGGGATCCAGACACTTAATCTGTCTGTCATTGCTGTAAATATAATCTGTGTCCTTGGGCCTTATTGGCAAGATTCAGGAACAAACGGCTAGACTCTCTGGTGACACATAAAGGACTTTGTAACAAAACCTGCAGCAAATATGTCTCTCATGACAGCTGTTTTGCTTGACCTAATGGTTAGGAAGGTAAGGGGAAACAAAACAATAGTGTCAATTATTCACAATATTAGACTTAGGCTAATAAGAAAGCTGGTGAGTAGAAGTAGTAGTATTTTTTTATCCTCTGGTGGATAAGAAATCACACGGTGGAAGAAAAAAAGAGAAAGCTGACTACACCTGTCTGCCCCTGCTGGGCTGGAGTGTAAAGGTTAAATGTGTGTGTGATAGCTGGCTCCAGGGGGGTGTGTGTGGCCACTGGTCAGGAGGGTTAACAGACAGCAGGTGGTCAATGCACATCCGGAGTGAACAACTTGGGAAAAAGAAACCACCGCAGAGCAGCAGCGAGGCTCCCACATAAAAATAAAGCTTCACATTGGATGCGGTGAGTTAAGGGGAAATGAGAGGAAATTGCGTCCTCAGTCTGCAATCAAAAGCTAATATTCCATCTTCATCATGATCCAAATATTCCCTTCCTCCTCCAACGCATTAAGTGTAATCTACGTCTAACTACTCTCTAAATTGCTTTCAAAATAAAATGATATGAGACGTTCTCTTTCACTGTCAGCTCGGCGAGGTCGTTAATTATTTTTTCGCTGTTATTTTAGAGTCGCGCACAGGCTGAGTGTGGAAGTGGGCGTGTGTGTGTATGATAAACAGGGCGTGGATTTGGCAGTGAGACTGTAAGGGGGTGTTCAGGATTTCCTTCCTATAGAGACGCTGCCAAGGAGCCACTGGAGCGCACAGACGGCACTGAGCGCTGCGGGGCGTAAATCCAGAAGCACCTTTCAGCTCAAGTCACTGGAAGAGTCTACAAGTCGCCTGTGATGATTTTTCAAGCTAAAAAAAGGACACGGGTGGGAGAGATAAGCTGAGGAACATGTGGAGCTTTTTGACGCGCGATGCGCAACTTTTGCGCCACTTGCTGCTGTGGCACGACATGGCGGTTTATTTCAAAGATATTCATTTTTGAGTAACTTTCAAGGTGTAGTAGTATGAAGTCCTGTGTCAGGGCATGTTTCCTGAATTGTGTCTTCGTGCTCAGGATTGCGACTCATGGGATGTAGTGTATGGAGAGCTGCGTTCAACTTTGGACACCTGAAGGTGCAGTCCAAGCTGTCCGTCTTTTTTACCATGATAATACTCTTCACATACCTCTTCTACTGCCTCAACGGATTCTGTGACTCCTTACCCAGGCCTGTTTACGACCAACAGAGCAGCAGTCAAAATAAAATGATCCTAAATGATGGACCGTCACTGCAGAAGCCCGGTGCGCATAACGCGTCTCAGGTGTCGTTTGTCCGGGGACAGCTGGCGGACTTGTCGAACAGCGATGCCAAATCTAACATCTCGATAGCAAATAGTTTCGGGAGCAAAAAGTTTCCTCAGGCCATCATCATCGGGGTGAAGAAAGGTGGCACTCGGGCTCTGCTGGAGTTCCTGCGCATCCATCCGGACGTGAGAGCCGTCGGAGCAGAGCCACACTTCTTTGACCGCTTCTACGACAAAGGGCTGACGTGGTACAGGTAAGAAGCGACTTTCACAACTGTGTTTTTAACATTTCCTTCAAGTTTTCACTCCCGTCCTCGACCTGCAAAGTGACCGGAATAGTAATGAACTGTAGGGGTCAAAGGGCAGGGGCAGGAGTCACCGACGCCTGATGAGAAGTTGTAGCTGTTTCCTGTCACTTTCTAGGAGGGAAAGTGCTCTAGGCTTTATTTTGAGCTGTCAATATCTGAATAAACATTTGCAGAAGCCTTTTTATTTTACTAAGATAACAATGTAATGAATGTTCCAAATACATGGGGTCGTTTGTTTCAGCCCAAAACTCAAAATTGTAACAGTCCTAATAAAATGTCTGATTCTGATAGGTTACAAACGACATTAAATGTACAGTAGTAAAAACTCAAGTAGAGCAGGCAAAGTGGAATGGCACTCCCAAAAACGCTTCCAAAAATTCGAATTCCCAAGGTTTACAATTCTTAATGTAGCCTATAGGTCAGAAAGATACTTAAGAAATTAAAATAGTTGAATACCTTATAAAACACATTAAATGTAGTATCTGCACTGAGAAGTAAAAATCAGGTCAAGCCGGTAAAATAGCATGCAGCCCCATCAAAAGTGCCCCACAAAACTCCTTATTTATCTCGAGATATTTTTGGGCTGTTTCCTAATGTGCTCTGTTGTGCATGTGAAGGCTTTATCCTTAAGTGTTTTAGTAGATCTTGTCAGACCAGTCGGATGAAGTTGATTGTGTTTGATTGCGCAGGCTAACACTAAGTTACATAATGATTAATTTAAAGTTTCTTCTTTATCTGTTTGACCTTTCAATTGAGAACTGTGACTCTTGAAACTTTTTTACTTTTGTACGTAAATGAAGGGGTATTTTTTTTCTGTCCCTTTTCCCCCCCAACCTTGCTCAACAATGGAAAAAAAAGTACTTTAATATGCTCTCTATTAGCAACAAATGTGCACAATTATTCATTACAATCTACTTTTTTAGTCCATCATTATTATAGCTATTAATTAATACAATTTAACTGAGCATGATGTCACAAAACAAAGCTGATTAAAACACACACTCCCTTTATTTTTCCATGTGAAGTGATCGTCCATATACCCGCAAAAACATCATCTCATGTCGCTGGTGTCACTCCCTGTCCTCTTCTTCTTCCTCATTAGTAACTCTCAGCACCAATAAGAGCCTCTGCTGATAGGTTCCAGCGATGGCAGCTTATTCAGTCCCCTGCCAATAAATTGCTGTTTATTGAGCTGACACGCTGCCTCCCTAAGTGTTCAGTGTTGGTTCCCCCGAGGGCCTCGCTACAGGCCTGATCACAAGTGGGAGGATGGGTGGTGATGGTTGTGGATGGTGGTAGTGTGAATGACCCCTCAGTCAGGTAGTATGGTTTGCTTGAGGATCAGCCCCAAACTGACTTCAGATAAGGCTGAGAATGTTCTGTCTTAAGTCGAAAAACAGCCTCAATTGTATTCTGTTTTTCATGAAAGAAAGGCAAGTGATGTATTTTTATATGATGTACAAAATCAAATGTACATGTTCAAGTGGGTGAAAAAACATCTTCTGTATATTAAAGTGTATTTTGCTTGGAAATGACGTCATGAAATCTGATAGCAGCACAGAGGCGAGAGGAAAAGAGACAAGAGGAAAACCATTAACAGAGGAAGAATGAGGAAAAGAGATCTGTGGAGTAAATGACAGTTTGATAAAGAGACAAGGAGAAGAGAGAGGAGGAGAACGCGGAGGTGGGGCAGAAAAAATGTTGTGAGAGAGAAGAAGACAGAGAGACGCAGGGCGAGATCAATACAGCCGGGTAATGATCGGTTTCACTGTGAGGCTCAGGTGGAACAGAGCTGAGTGACAGCAGGGATCAAAGCGTGTGTTTGTGTGCACAAGTGTTAGTTTGCCTACTTATTACTTTGTTTGACTTCAGGAAGAGGATGAGGCGGGGGGAGGGGGGTTTCCCTACAAAGTACATCAAACTGTCTCATGCATGTGTGATGATAAAGTTATGAGTGATGTGGGCAGCAGCTTGACTTGGAGTTGAAACGATGAAATACCAAAAATTGTTCAAAATAAGACATGCACGTTTAACGTCCACGGTGAGGACGAGGAGCCGGGGCCGGCTCGAGCTGGGGCAGACTGGTAGTGTTGGTGCTCTCACTGTTTACCTATGGACACAGACATGGAGTCTGTTTTCTGCCAGGAATTTACAAGATGCCAATGCAATTCTGGAAGAAATCTTGGTTGAGGAAATGGCCTTATGTGTTGAAGTAAATATGTCTGTAAACCTCACCTTAGTGGGAGTGGCCTGCGGTGCTGTACATTCTGGGATTTGGTGTCTTTCATCCACATGAGCCAAAAAGACACTTTCTGCCTTTTCTCGGCCAAGAAGGCACCAACTTCAAAATGTATTTCACATTTCTACTACATATATGACCCAATGTCAATACAGAGTCATGTTTCAACAGGTGAAGTATCCCTTTAAAGGGGACATATTATGAAAAATTTAGGGTTAGGGTTTTTGAACATATATTTGGGTAACCTGAGTGTCTACTGATCCACAAAATGTGAAATAAACCCATCCAGTCCTTTATTTGTGGTCTGCATAAGTCTTACAACACAGAGAAAAATGCTCTGTTTCAAATGTGCTCTCCTTGTGATGTCACAGTGGGATTCTGGTATAAAACAATCCCTTCCCCTCCCCTGGTATCTCCACCTATAGACTCCACCCCACCCCACTTTTGCGCAGGTCTGCCATTTTTATTCTCGCTAGCAAAGGATCTGTAGTTGTTTTAACAGTGAGAGAAAGAGTTAAAGGTGAGGCGACTGATGACCTTTACATGTTTCTCTTACAGCTCTCTGTTGTTGTGAAACTGACCTTACGTTGTGCTCTCTTACTGAGACATGACATGTTCACCTCTCTCTCTTTTTTTTCTCCTTCTCTCCGTCTCTCCTTTGAAGGCGTAATGAAACGTTTTTTTTTTTGGTCTGTTCTAATCCGCTGACAGCTCGTGTCAACACTGCGTGGATTGGACCGGTGTGATGACAGGTCAGGCATTAACACGGACAGCTCAGGGACATGCCGAGTGGCTGAGAAGGATTAGGCCCACTCTTGCTGTGAAGCAAGGCCTTATGAAGTATTAGTCAATACCCTCAACCACCCAGCTCCAAGCAGTTTTATATGCTGCATGCTTCAGTATTCCCCAACCTCAACATTTAGAGCGATAGGGTGAAGCTTATTGTACCCAAGGGCTGAACAGTCCACTGGCTTACAGACAAGTTATGAGAGTTACAAGGACTTTTCATTTTCATATAGGACAGATGTAATTTGTTCAAAGCAAGAAGCAAGAACCCTTGAGTCCAGTGATTCTCAATCAGGGTTACTGATAAGCTGTTAAATTAGCAAATGTCTTTAACACCATAGATGTTTACAACAACAACAAAAAAGAAGCCCTCTATGAACCATAGTTAAAATGAAATGATACAGTCTGTTGGGAGAAAATCAAGTTATTAAAATGCAACAGTGTCTTCAAAAAGTTGAAGCTATAAGGGTAGAATTAGTGCCCAACCGATACTAGATATTTGGGGCCGATACTGATATCAATACTGGGGAGAAAATAAATCTGATACCAATATATCGGCCGATATCTTTCTTAAATATGTGTTCGATCTTTAGAGAAAGATACATATACACATTTATTGCATTGATCCCTCATCTGCAGTTGTCAAACACTTGTTGAAGAAAAAAATACAGTATTAGGAAGATCAGATGGTCACACAACTGGAAAGTAACTTTGCATTTACGTAGCGTCACCGTTTGACACTCTGGAGGGTGATAATGGTTGTTGTATTCCATATAGCGCCCTCTGCTGGTGAAAGAGAACTGCTAGTTTAAAACAATTAATCTCAAATGAAATGTTTTTTGACTGGTCAATAAATCTGTAATATCAGCGCATATCTGCGATAAAACTAGACAATACCGATAGTCACTGGATATTCTAATATCGGCCGATATTATCGGCTGGAGGATTAATCGGTCGCGCTATTGGTAGAATGATGCCACCACTACACTCTGCTTGTTTTGTGTTTCGTTCTTACAGTTGAAATTAGCTTTTTTTCTTTTTTAACCTTACATGATAAACAATTTGTTAAACTGTGAGACAAAGTAATGAATCTAACATGATAACGGTCATTTAAAGGTGACTATTAGCTTCTGCTTATCAGTGCAGTAAAAGCTAGTATGAATGCAAACGACACTGACCTACACATGTAGAACCCAATTTATAATTAAGGCCAACAATTAAAAGCTTTAGCCTGACAATATCCATTTGTACATCCTCGTAAAAAATAACAGTTTTACATCATTTGAATGAACACATTAGGAACGGCAGGAAGTGTCAGTAAAGGGTTATTTGAGTGGAGTTTCAAAAATGTGATTGAGTCTAAGAATGTATCAAATATTCAGAGAAACATGTGGGGACTGCTTCATATGTCAATGGCTGCTTAATAATCAGAAACCTATCTGCCTTCCCTGTGCCATCTTACTTCTCTCCCATTTCTGCCCTCTTCACATTTCCATACTTCCAGAGATCATATTCTTACAAAAACATGATTACTTAATAGTAATTACACGTTAAGTAGCTGGTCGTTCACATGTATCAATTTGCAACAGAATCGTTACATGTGACGCCAACAACAACATCATCTGAGAGACCGGGCTGGAAAGTATCACTTAAGCATTCATTCTCTTGACAGAGCTCTTCATTTCAAAGTGCTGTTTGTGTCTTTGGAGCTTTGGCCACTGATTTTCAGCTGCTAACCAAGCAAAACACATGGACATCCTTAAAGGAAGCATTTGGCAAATTGTTTAAGAAAAAAAAATGCTTATATGTGGAAAAGCCTCGGCTTTGCCATCTGCTGGAAAACGGCTCTGTGGCTTTGGTGGTCGGGAACAAGGTTTCAGACAGCCTGGGTGTGCGAGTGTGTGAGCGCAAGTGTGTGGGT